AACAGTGGACAGTTCCCCGGGCATCTTCCCTGCAGAACAAGTGATGGCTTTGTGTAGTGGGACGACTTTCTGATAGGTACAAGTCAAGCGTCCGGCTAGGGTTAACATGATGTTTTGTATTTTTGTGGAGGTAGTGGGGCTTGAACCTGGGACCTCATGCATGCTAAGCATGCGCTCTGCCACTGAGCTATACCCACCCCCACTCTGGCTAGGGTTAAGATATGATTTGTGTGTCAAAATTCAGTGTCCTGAAGTATGCAGTTCATTGGTGTTTCAGTAGTTACAGCTTTTGCAGCTATTATCACTGGTAATCCGAGAATATTTCCATAAACCATTATTTTTCAACCAGGAGTGCTTTTGCTCCACTGGGGACATTTTTAGTTGTCACAGCTGAGGGTGCTACCAGCACCTGCAGGGCGGAGACAGGGAAGCTGCTGCACAGTCTGCAGTGCAGGGCCCCACCCCCAGCACCACCCCAGCCCGTGTCAGGTGAGGTAGGGACACCAGACTGTGGGGTGTCTAGTGTGTAGGGTACCAACTGCCCCTCCACCCCTCACAAGTTTAAGTTGTTGAAAACTGAATTTCTAATTAGCCCCTGGGGCAGATGGTAGGAAGGGGAATTGGGGTTTCCTGCAGGGCCCCGGGGAGGATTGAGCACCAAGGTAAACAGACCCCAAACCTCCCCCTCCTCTCCCTGGAGTGTCAGTGGTGGCGGCCAGGGACAGGGGAGATGAGCTCACAGAATAACTCCAGGTGTCCCCAGTGAGCCCTGGGGCCTGCAGTGCAGGGCCCAGGCTGGGCGCAGCTGTGGGAGGGCAGCTGCAGGAAGGACTGGCAGCCAGGCCTCTGTTTGGGGGTGCAGTGGTCAGGATTAGGGCGTGATCCTGGATCCCTTGTGATCATCAATGGTGTCTGCTGTGCCAGGTGCTTTGCGTGTGTCACAACAGCCCTGGGGGCACTTGTCACCACCCCCATTTACAGGCGAGAGGTCATTTCACCTGCTCAAGGCCAGGCATGTTCGGGTTCCTTTTCAGGAAAAAAGTGGAGGTGGAACACAGTGGCTTAGGGGCCACCTCAGAAGAGCCACAGGGGGCTGCTGGTCACACTTGTCAGCCCTTACTTACCCCTCAGTTAAAGTTGGTGGGTGAGAAATACTGAAGACTCACTCCCTTCCCGGACTGCCCTCTGGATGTCCCCCTTCTTGGGTATGGCCGGCCCTGCCCTTGGGGTTCCCGTGAAAGCCAGTGACAGCTCTGGGTTTAAGCATCTTCCGGTAGCAGGGGAAAGTGGAGCTTTGCAGGCCAGGTGTGAGTTCCTAAATTTCCCCCCTACCTCGCTTTCTGAGTGACCCTGGGCAAGTCCCTTGCCTCCCTGGTCCAGGCCTCAGTCACTGATGAGCGGGCCTGCGTGGTGTGGGCAGAGCCAGTGTGTGATCTGGTGGGGAGCAGCCAGTACAGAGCCACAAGGCCAGATGTGGGAGGCTTGGGAGGCCCCTGATCCTGGCCTTCTTCCCACAGACCATCAAGTGCCTGCTGATCCACCCCAACCCTGAGTCCGCCCTCAACGAGGAGGCGGGCCGCCTGCTCCTGGAGAACTACGAGGAGTACGCGGCACGCGCACGCCTGCTCACAGAGATCCA